GGGGCGGGGGCGGCAGAGGCCTGGGTGGTGGGCGGGGCGGCCTCTAGCCCGTGCTCTGCCCACAGGGGGAGTTCGTGAACGAGTATGTGGGCGAGCTGATCGACGAGGAGGAGTGCATGGCCCGGATCAGGCGCGCACACGAGAACGACATCACCCACTTCTACATGCTCACCATCGACAAGGTAGGGCCGTGTCCCCGCTGGCCTGCGGCGTCCTGGGCGTGGCGTCTGAGGGCTCGCCCTTTACACGTGCGCAGGGCCCCGCAGCTCCTGAGGGCCGGAGCCTCCTGCCCATTGGTGTGCGAGTGTCTTGGGGCCTCGCGTGTCCACCGGAGCCTGAGGGGTGCACTGCCCTTGTCCGAGCATCAGGGAGGAGACGGCACAGACGGGGTGACGCCGCACCGTCACAGGGCGCAGACCCCCGTCGTCACTGCTGGTCTGAGCCCAGATTCGTAAACAGTGTGGAGCAAAGGTCGCCTGGCAGGGCCAGTGTCCTCGGGAGAGGGGTGGTGACACCCTCTGCTTCAGTGCGGGGATGAAGAGCTCGTCAGGGACGCGGTCTCGGGCCCTTTCTGGGCGAATCCTCTCGTGGCCACAGCCACCCCCAAGGTGGCAGGTTTACACCTGCCTCTGCCATGCCCTCCTAGGGGCGGGGCGGGGCTGTTTAGCCGAAACTGAAACCCTAGGCTGTGCCTTGCCTCTTTCAGAGCCTAAGTTAAATGTGTGTGCTGTGGAACCGCCAAGCTGCTCCTCTAACACAGGTTGGTCCCTGAGGTGGGGGCACCCGGGGCACCGGCCGGAGCCGGGGAACAGCCTCGACACGGGCGAGTCAGCCGTTCTCACTGAGGCAAAGCAGACAGAGGCCCTGCTGGACGTGTCCTGGCACCACAGGACGAGGGCTCCACGGGCAGACCCTCCACGTAGGTTTAGGTTCTGGTGAGAACCGGAGACAAACCAGGTGGAAGGAAATAGCGGGAAAGTGTGTTAGAGACACGAAAACCAGGAAGGCGGTTTAGAGGTCACGAGGGCAGCAGGCCCGAGGGGGAGACAGGCCGGTCTGGACAGTCACACGGTGCGGCCTGCAGCCGTGGAGACTCAGCCGGTGGGTGGGGAAGTCGGACAGCTGCCCGCAGGAGCGAGGCGGAGCGCAGCAGAGGGGACAGGTTAGGAGACGGCCGAGGGGTGTAGGGGCAGGACGTTGTTCGGGTGCAGGAAGGACAGCGACACCCACCATTTCTGGTCGAGGGGTGAAGCCTCGTGAAGGTGTAAATCTTCCGAAATGTAAGGTCACATTTCATTGACCTTGTGGGCAGCCCAGAGTCCGCACGGTGCCTTGTGTCAGTGAAGGGGGACCCGAGCCCTGGGTCTGCTGGGGCTGCCTGCCCTGGGCGGTGGCCACGCCTCCCCCTCACTCGTGACCCAGATGGAACAGAGCCAGGAAAATGGGCATTTGTTATGATGTCGGAAACCCTGGGCACGCCGAGCCAGGGATGGTAAAACAGCCCCATAAAACTAAGGGAGCTCTGACACATTTATTCAGAGTTTATACAAAAGCAGAGCATCTGAAAACCAGTAAGAGAGAAAAAACTGTAAGGACAGGTGGGCCAGCCCGGTGGCATGCTCGCTGACCCCTGGGCGGGCGACCAGTGGCCGAGGCCAGGACGGGACTGCCTGCTGTCGGTGGCGGGCGTGGGTGCGCCTCCTTGCCCAGGAGGCGTTCGTGCAGACACCGGCCGGACGAGAGTGAGGTTGCAGCCTTGTCACTGACTGTGGCCAGGGACTGTCCTCAGACGCCCGGTGCGGTGAGAAGAGCAGAGTCTCGGGCGCGGGGCAGTGCAGTGCGCGGACTCCCGCGTTTGCTTGTGCTGGTCAGACGTGACTCTGTGCTGTCTGGTGACTGATACGTGATGGGGCCTTATTTTCACACCTGGCCCCGGGCACTCCTGGCGCAGCAGGGCCGCCCCCCGTGGAGGTCGGTGTGGGATTGGAGGCTCCTTGTGGCTGGGCAGCTGCGTCGCTTCTGGGTTTTGCCTCAGTGGATGCAGACGTCCCCGCACACAGGGCGCCTCGTCTCAGGGCTACCCCAGCTGCTCGTAACACCGTTCCCGCCCGGCTCCGACCCTGGCACGGCGGGCCTCCCACTGAGGCCAGCTTTCCGTGTCAGCAGCATCTCAGCTGCTCAGAGTGTGGGGTCTGCCCCCCTGAGCGTCGTGTTCATGTCCTGCTCTTTTCGTAACTGGGATGGTCCCTTCTCTCAGGGTGTGAGAATTCGGGTGCTGTTGGTGTTGACCTCCAGCGTTCTGCCTCCCTTGTCTCATCGGATGGGAGGCGTTGGGGACCTTTGCCGAGGACCCTGGGCTCTGCAGGGCTCGGTCCTGTCCACGTGGTCCTGACCCACCCTTTGTGAGCCACAGAAAAGGGACTGGATTGGGGGTGTCCTGTCTGAGTGGACACAGGAGACCACGGTTTCCAGTACGACACCAGTTGTCCATGAACCTCCTAATGTGAGAGGCCCCTCTGAGTGAGACTGATGCCGAGAGTTGCCCCCTGCCAGTGCTACTTGAAACCTGAGCTGTACCTTACAGGACCGCATAATTGACGCTGGCCCCAAAGGCAACTATTCCCGATTTATGAATCACAGCTGCCAGCCCAACTGCGAGACCCTCAAGTGGACGGTGAATGGTGACACACGTGTGGGCCTGTTTGCCGTGTGTGACATTCCTGCAGGTATGGCACCCGGGCTCCTTGGGGTCCCAGCTGTGTGGTCAGGATGCAGGGCTCGGGGAGGCGGCTGGTCACTCGGGAACCTTGTTTGTGTTGAGGGTCTGTTTTATGAGGTGACCTTGCACAGCCGCGGGGCCGTGTAGGCAGAGGGCACGGGCGCCTGGCGGCTGGGTGTTCAGCTGGATGGGTAGGGTTTCCATGCGGCTTGTCTGCTGTCACCAGGGACGGAGCTGACTTTCAACTACAACCTTGACTGTCTGGGCAATGAGAAGACCGTGTGCCGCTGTGGAGCCTCCAACTGCAGCGGGTTCCTTGGGGACCGACCGAAGGTGAGGGCCCCGCTCCCCGAACACATCCCTGGGAGTCACAAGTGGCTTCTTTCTAGCTGACTTGCTGCCAGGACGGGTGGGGTGCGGGCGAGGCTGTCTGCTGTCCCTCTTGGTTCCTCACCGCGTCGTGTCCCGGGCTCGTAGCAGAGCAGCCAGACTGGTGCCTTGACAGCAGGCCTTCGTCTCGAACAGTCAGGAGGCCAGGAACCCGAAATCAGTGTCGTCAGGGCTGCGCTCCCTCTGAGGCTCTGGGAGGAAGTCTGTCCCTGGCTGCAGTCCTGCTGCCCTGGGCTGGTGGCTGCTTCTCCCCAGTCCCTGCGCCCACCGTCACCTGGCCCCTCCTGTGTATCCCTCTCCCCCCCTATAAGGACACCAGTCAGACGGGATTAGGGCCACCCTGCCCCAGTGTGACCTCACCCTGACTTAGTTACATCTGCACCTACCTTCTGCGGAAGGACATGAACTTGGGGGTCACACAGCGTCTGCCCATTTGCTCGCTCTCACCACAGCCTCGTTGGGCGGGAGTCCCAGTGTCCCGGGCCCCATGCCCACCAGGTCCGGGACGTGGGCCTCAGGCCGCTCAGAGGGGCTCGTGCCCATTTGGCTTCACATTTGAATTTCTCGCCTGAGTAAGTGGCGTGAGAACAGGCGTGGCGAGCGTCCTTCCCTGTGCTTCTGATGCTGAATTCCCACGTGCTCCCGCCTGAGTCCCGCGGCTCTGACGTGAACCGTACCGAATTCTTACTTCTAGACGTCGGCGCCGCTTTCCTCAGAGGAGAAGGGAAAAAGGGCCAAGAAGAAGACCAGGAGGCGCAGAACGAAAGGCGACGGGAAGAAGGACTCGGAGGACGAGTGCTTCCGCTGCGGCGACGGGGGCCAGCTGGTGCTCTGTGACCGCAGGTCCTGCACCAAGGCCTACCACCTGCCCTGCCTGGGCCTGCGCAAGCGGCCCTTCGGTGGGTCCCCGCTCACTGGTCGCTCGGGGACAGTGGCATGGGAGCAGGGGTGGCTCACGCACACGGCGTGTCTCAGGGGACCCCGGGCAGTCATGGGGAAGCAGAGCTGTGACCTCAGAAAAAGTCAGGAGGGCCCCCCCCCCCCAAAGATGGGGAAGCGAAATGCTGTAAAAAGAAAAGTCAAACATATTTGCAAGAAAAAAATGATGTTTGGGGGGCAGAACAGGACCAGCCCGGTGAGCGAGCGAACGTCAGAGAGGCCTGCGGTGGGTGTGACACCCCCTGACGAGCGCAGGGCCCTTAGGAGTTCCAGCAGAACAGAGCCCAGCAGAGCCCGGCCAGCTGCAGGGCAGGTCCCGGGGGAGCAGCAGAGCCGGCGGCGGGGCGGGCACAGGGCGGCGGGTCCCCCGGGCCCCGGAGCAGTGCTGGCTTCTCCGAGTGGTTGCAGTCGGGAGGGAGGCAGCCTCTTGTTTGGAGCTGCGTGGGGTTTGTCACTTGTCGCCCGGCTGGTAACACGCCATCTCTTTGCAGGGAAGTGGGTGTGTCCTTGGCACCACTGTGACGTGTGTGGCAAACCTTCTGCCTTGTTTTGCCATTTTTGCCCTAATTCGTTCTGCAAGGAGCACCAGGACGGGACAGCCTTCCACTCCACCCAGGACGGGCGGTCCTACTGCTGTGAGCATGACTGGGGGACAGAGCCCAGTGCGAGCAGCAAGGCCGAGAAACCCCTCCCGGAGCCCACGAAGCCCAAGGGGAGGCGGCGGCGGCGGCGGTGCTGGCGGAGGGTCACGGAGGGCAAAT